TATGTTCATTTGGGGGGGGGGGGGATGTTTAAAACATGCTTAATTTTTAACTAGACTTTTTACTAGGTTTTACATAACTGCATTAAATATTTCCAATCTTGACTGCAATGAAAGTTCAGTTGAAATTGTGGTTCAAAATCACCCTAATAAATACATTTTGATAATTAATCATTGATCATTAATCTATAACCTCTGAAGATGAACAGCTTGCTTTACAAAACTACAATAATGCATTTAAAAAAAAAAAACAAGCAAAAAGGGAATATCTGAATATAAAAGCTGAACTGATAACTAATGTTTAATTTAGGGAAAAACTGTTTAATAAGGTTATTTTGATTTTATACTGTGTTTTTACGTAACTGCAATAAGCATTTGCAATTTGGTTGAAATTATTCAAAATCACCCTTTTAAGCCATTTAAGAGCAAATATATATTGACATTGACAGACAGCGCTCGCGGCCCCCAAACTATTGCACCATCACACTGGGCCCCCCAAACAAACCTTCACTATACTGGCTATCCACAATGCCAGTGTAAGGCAAACTGCACTCACCATAGAAACCACACATAGCATGTCATCAGTTTATGGGCAATGGGAGGAGATCGAGGGGCTTTTGTTGAAACAAAGGATGTAACTCTTCCTCTGCTTTGGCACTGCCATCAAACAAACAGCGGCAATCAAAAGTCAATGCAGCACGCTGTGGCACAACAGCACAACTACTGGGAAAAGCTGGGCACTTTGATCATTAAGTGACTTCATTCTCTTGAAAGGTTCGAAAAACAGTTTATGCAACCTGCGCGGGAAAATGACATGATTTTGGCCTGTACCCACCCACCTGTAGCCTTACCTCAAAATAAGACACGCCGGGGGCTTCCAGTCAACAGAGGCCCTTCTTAGATTGGTGACAGGAAACATCTGGTGTTATTAAACACCTCGAGCCATGCCATATTTAGCATCAAACCTAATAAAACCGCACAGGTTAGGTCTCTTCACGGTCACTGGCCACTTAGTTCCCACAGCACAGACGCAAAGACTCACAGGGACAGAATCACAGAATCCAGTGAACCGCAGAATCCAGTCACAAAAATTGAATTTACAATATAATGTGGAATGTCACGTCATTTGGCAGATTTTGGATGGATAAACATGCTTTTTTCGTCAATAAGTTTAAATTAACCATTAAAAGAGAATCCAGAAAATTTTAAGCATACGAAAATTGAATCCAGACAATTTCAAAATGGAAAAAAAATTAAATACCACCTTAATAAATTGTTGTTAAATTGTATCATTTTCATGATTTCAATTCATTAGACATGCTTTTTGAGTGAAAAATCCAAATGGGAAAAAAATTATTAAAAAAAAAGACTGAATTTAGAGAAAAAAATTCAATGGAATTTGGGGGAAAAAAATAAAACAAATTTCATAGGGCCCTAAAATTAATATTTTGTTACCTTTTAATAAATTATTGTTAAATTGTATACATTTCATGATTTCAATTAATTAGACATGCTTTGATGAATAATATTTAATTTAACTATTAAAATGAATCCAGAAAATGGAAAAACATAATTTGGGAAGAATAAATCAGATTTCATAGGCTGCCAATTACATTGCAAACTACTCGGGGGCAAAAAATTAAAAAAAAACATGTCAATCAACCCCTGTACCCCAAAGTTACATTATTTTATACAATCTTGAAAAAGCCTTATTTCTCAGCAATAGTACAGAACCATTGAACATGTTCTAAGGGAAAATCCAATGCACAATATAGCCTTTCTTCACAAAGCCCCTTCAGATTGGGGTATTCCATAGGTGACACACAATGCAGACCCCTGAAATATCACCTTATTAGTCAACACAGAGCAAGCATCACAGCTACAAGCAAAAAGGAATACACGACTTTAGGGAAGTGCACTTAAAAATGGGAAATGTGCCAGTGATGAACTTCTGACCTTGATGTCAGTGAGGTTATGAGAGGTCACTCGTCTGACCTGATTCTAACCCACACTTACTGCTGGTTACACGAGGCAAACCACCCTCATCATGTCTGACCAGTGCTTCATCACATCACAAAATGACTCATCGTCAGCCTTTAAAATGCCCACGATGAGGCACAATGAGACAGTTGCTCTGATCTAAACCATACTACAAGACATGTACGAAGAACAGTACAAACATGAACTCAGTATTTCACAGAAACGCTTGACTATGGTACAGTCAAGCAGTCCTAAAATGAGAATTCTAGTGGAAAAGCTTTCGAGACACTTAAAAGCAGAAATGGACCCATCCTGGCTTTTCAAGACCAACAGGATTATGTTAGTGTCTGATGACCTTATTACCTTAAAATCAATTACTTCAGTTTTTGACACAATAATGGCTAAATACTTCATTATTAGGAAATACTTAAAACATTCAAATCACAAGTAAAACACTAAAAATGAATTCTTAATTTTATAAAAAGGTGAAGTTATTATACAAATAACACATTAAATAAATGTATTAAAAAATGTTTTAAGTTAAAGGTAAAAATACTGGTCAAACCGATTGTTGTTGTACTCCTGATAATTGTGTTTCCACACATTTTAATCAATGAAATTCACACTGAATTACTAATGAATCACTGTAAAGATGAAACAATGAAAGACCAATCTGTGAATCGGTTTGACAAAACAAGAGACACAAACCCGCATAATTAGACCTCACAAAAATCATTAGGATATTAAGTAAAGATCATTTTCCATTAAGATATTGTCAATTTCCTACTCAAAACTTAATTTTTGATTAGTAATATGCACTGCTAAGAACTTCATCTGGACAACTTTAAAGGCGATTTTCTCAATATTTAGATTTTTTGCACCCTCAGATTCCAGATTTTCAAATAGTTGCATCTCAGCCAAATCATAACAAACCATACATCAGTGGAAAGCTTATTTATTCAGCTTTCAGATGATGTATAAATCTCAGTTTCAAAAAATTGACCCTTAAGAAGGTTGACCCTAAAGACCCAACATCATACACACCTGTAGTTCCGATTTCCATTCATGAGGTCTCTGTCCGGTTCCGTCCCCGGCTCGCAGTAGACGAACTTCAGAAACTCTACGGTTCCGTTAACCCAATGCGAGCGTTTCCTCAGTTTAAGGGCTCCTAATAATCCAGTGTCCCAGAAGCTCGTATATCAGAGGAGAGGGGGAGGTTCGGTGCCTCCGTATGTGGCTCGAACTATCCGGTCTGGATTTCAGGTTCGATTGACAGACTGACGTGACGGCAAGCTAGCCAGCCAGCTAAGACGAGAAGTTCCCCTGAATACAGTCCCGAATCGCTGTTTCTGTGACGGCGACGCCTTCAGAAACGCGTCTTTGGAAAGACTGAGGCGGTTTGTTGAGGTGTTATGACGTTATAGCGAGTAAAAGTCAACTTATGTCGCCTCCGCTCTTCGACACAGCTAGCCTGCTACTGCTAGCGGCCAGGCTAACCAGCTAAGCTACATTCCCATCTGTGAGGGGAAAAATCCGCGAAAGTCCCCGATCCTCCATGAATTCCGTCCTCGAAGCTCGAGGCTTTTCGATGGCGCGTACTCCCTTCGTTTTACGCCGACGGTGACACGAAATAAGTTGGGAGCTGAACTCTCTCTCTCTCGCAGGGTTTCTCTGACACTCAGTGCCTCTGCGATACTCGCTTCAGCTAAATATGGAGCGTCTGATCCGCCGCGAGCGCGACGCACGGACCTGCCGCGAGAGCCGCGCGCTGATTGGCTGCGAGGGAAGGGACGTGGTTTAAGGCAGCCTCATCATCATCATCAACAACTTATTAGGCCTCATTCATCTTGGAAAAAATCCTTCGCAAAACCATTCAATTCTGTCTACTCACTAAATAATGTTGGGTTAAAAACATTTAGGTATAGCACCTGCCCATCTGTTGGCTATAGGGCTCTTAAATTAGAGATGCACTGATTATTTTTAAGGGCACAATAATATGCAGAGATATTTAAAAGCATAAGCAAAACAATAAATACATTTTGGTTATTCATTGCTCTATTTATGCTTTTTCACACAATAACAACAAAATCAATCATCAATGAATTGGGTTAAAATCCAGCTGGGTTAAAAGTTACCTAACAGAACTCACACCAGTATTTTTTTTTTTTAAATGTAAATGTTTACAAAATAAATGTTCAAGAACGTGTAAAAAAAATATTAAATTCAAAACACACAAATGTGCACATAAAACTAACATATTTTCAAGATGTACAGTGAATTCAAAACCAACAAATGTGTATCAATTCATATTCATTCATATCAAAACATACACACATGTGCACATACAGTATGCAAAAATAAAACAAACATAACATACAAACATATAATCGTAAACACAAGTAACACAGGTTTTTTCAACTGCTTACACACAAAATGTTTACTTGTCACACAATTTCTGAAACCGCTAATTCTTGGCCTTTGACTCAGTTTTCAATTTCATAAAACACAAAAATCTAACAGGAATGAATATTATGGCAAAGGTGTTTGCAAATGTTTGCTTTTGAGATGTGTTTGTGATATTTTGAATGCAGTGCTTCATTTTGCAAGAGATGTGAGGCATTTAGCATTTTGTGTGTGCAATTTTTGGATTTGTCTGTAAAGTTTTGAAAAAAAGAGGCGAGGTTTTGAAAATGTAAGCAGTTGAAAAAACTGTAATAATAATAATAAAAACAAATCTGCTGGCTGCTGGACCTACTGATGATCAGTAAAATAAAACGTTTTTACTGATCATTAAAGGGGTCATATGATGTTGCTAAAAAGAACATTATTTTATGCACCAAGAGCTGGTAACACTCCAAAGAGAAAGGAACAATTGAAATCGCATCATATGACCCCTTTAAATACAACAAGTATCCTTAAGTGTTTAAGGAGGAGGCAGTGTGTTGAAGGAACTCTTGGAATATTAAAGACTGTGTGCTGCAAAGCTGCTTTGGGTAGTTGACGTCATACACGTAGAAAAGTTTGCAACACAGATCCACTGCTTGTAGTAAGGTCTTCTGTTCCATCGCCTCCTCGTTGAAAGTTCTTGGAATTAGTACAGCAATGCTGGTGTCATCCAGTAGCGTAAAACTTTCTCCATCCACTCCTTCCTCTGTGATACGATGAAGCAGAAGAAGAAACATTTTACAGATAAACTAGTAAACTGGTTAGAGCTCAATTATGGCAAAAATATCATGAACACAATTATTTTAGTCAATATTGAAATCGCGATTAATTAGCATGATTATTGGTGTTATGAACAGCGTTATGAAGTCTTTCATGAAATTAGTCATTTTAAATATCAGGGAAGTTTCACAATTGTCAATACTTAATTAAAAACTAGTACTAGGTTAACTCATGTGAGTAAAATTTACCACACTTACATATTTGACTGATTTGGTTGTTAAGTTTGGACTTGTAAGGAGGAACAAATGTACACCGCTGTGAACGAAAGGAAGCTGTGCTGGACGGAATGCGGCAGCAACACACTAATCATTTCACCTCATTTATCTTTTTTCATAATTGTTGGAAGTCATAATTGAAGTTGTAAGTCAAAAGTTTTTGAACAGTAAGATTTTTTATATTTTTTAAAGAATTCTCTTCTGCTCAGCAAGCCTGCATTTATTTGATGCAGCAAAAGAAGTAATATTGTGAAATATTCTTACTATTTAAAATAACTGTTTTCTATTTATTCTATTTAAATATATTTTCAAATGTAATTTATTCCTGTGATCAAAGCTGATTTTTTTAGCATCATTACTCCTGTCACATGATTCTTCAGAAATCTTTCTAATATTCTAATTTGCTGCTCAAAAACATTTATTATTATTATTATGTTGAAAACACCTGAGTATAATTTTTTCATGTTTCTTTGATGAATAGAAAGGTCAGAAGAACAGCATTTATCTGAAATAGAAATCTTTTGTAACACTATAAATGTCTTTATCATCACATTTTTATCAATTTAATGCATTCTTGCTAAATAAAAGTATTAATTTCTCAAAAAAAAAAAAAAGTATACTGACTCCAAGCTTTTAAATGGTATAGTTTATAATGTTACACAAGCTTTTTATTTCAGATAAATGCTGATCTTTTGAGCTTTCTATTCATCAAAGTATCCTGGAAAAAAAAATGTACTCAACTGTTTTAAATATTGATAATAATAATAATAATAAATATTTCTTGAACAGCATATCAGCATATTAGAATGATTTCTGAAAGATCATGTGACACTGAAGAATAGAAAGCAGTTATTTTAAATAGTAAAAATATTTCACAATATTAATGCTTTTTTTGTATTTTGGGTCAAATAAATGCAGGCTTGGTGAGCAGAAGAGAATTCTTTAAAAAACATAAAAAATCTTAGTGTCCAAAAACTTCTGACTGGTAGTGTACATGTATCACTCATTTAAATAGTTGACTTACCTTGAAATGTTTTGATTAACTGGCAGAGATTCCACTGTTTCACAGAAGAATCCTTTGTCTAAAACATAAGTATAAACACATTTAGTACAACACATTTAAAAGAAACATGCAAATCTGTCATAGCTTCATGTGAGAAATGGCTGTAATTAGAGGCTATTCTAATAGATGCATAACAATATTCAATATCATGTGAATAAACCATAAAAACACCGCGGCGCGGTTCAAATGAACACCACTCTCTCATTTAGCATCAGTGTTGGGCTAGTTACTCAAAGAATGTAATATATTACTCATTACTAGTTACTCATTTCAAAAGTAATATTGTTACTTTACTTATTACTTTCTGGCAACAGTAATTAGTTAAACTACTAGTTACATTACTTTTTCTTCACGCCCCACAGAAATTGTAACTGTGTATCTTCCACATAAAAGTGATTGATAGTGATGTATCGAAGTAGAAGTGTTGTATTAATCTCATTAATTCTCATGTGTAGCTTGAAAACTAATATTATTACTGAAATCTTGTTAGTAATTAGTTACACTACTAGTTACTGCAAAAAGTAATATTATTACAGTATCTAAGTTACTAGTTACTGCCCAACACTGTTTAGCATCTACCGTTTCCCATGTATAAATGTGATAATCACTAGTGCGACCAAACAAACTCTAGTCAGAACAGGTCTGGAACACTCCATTAACTGTAAAATAATAAGTTATCGCCAACAATTTAAACCTGGCCTAATGGTAAATAGTGATTTCAGTAACATACTTAAAGGGGTGGTTGATTGCGATTTCACTTTTTTAACCCCGCCCTCGGGAAAAGGCAGCAAAGGGGGCGAGGCCATGCTGCGCTGCTTCAGAGAAGAGGAAGATAAAACTAGAGGTGCACGTAAAAATCTATTCATATATGAATCGCCATTCTGTCTTCTAACGATTCTAATGGATTCAAAAGTTTCAAAATCAATGTTCTAAAGCAGAGGTTCTTAATTACTCTCTCACTAGAGGCGGTTTAGCCAATCACAACACACTGGGCTAGCTAACCAATCAGAGCCCATCGCCTATTTCAGAGGGAGGGGCTTCATAAAAGAAGGAAATGATCAGGGTATTTCTCAGAGATGGGACAGAGCAGTGTGGAATAAAGCTAAATTATGTGAAAAAAAAATGCTTTTTTTTTAGCATTTTAGGCAATCAAGTAGCGACTTCAACGAGGGGGTGCATAATCTGGCAAGGGTGCAGAATTTGGCACAAAAATTTGATTTTTTTTAATTAATTTTTTTATTTGAACCGTCGCCGCGGGAACCAATTTAACCCAACGCTGGGTTATTACTAAAAAGAACCCATCGATGTTTAAAAAATATTTTTAAACATATACCATACATATACCAAATATTTACCAATGTTTTAGAAAATAACCCAACATACTATCTATCTATCTATCTATCTATCTATCTATCTATCAGCTAACAAAATTTTGTTCTAAGAACGTTTCGCTTACGTTCCTATTAAGTTATGAAAACGATAGGCTATTTCTGAATGTTCTCTGAACGTACTAAACGTCCAGTTTTCTGAATGTTTCTTGGTTATACAAACGTTAAGAACATTCCACTTTATAATTGTGCAAATATTATGGGAACGTTGCTTTTGAATTGTCTCTGAACATTCTGAAACATTTCAAAATGTCAGACAAACTTTCAACTAAAATGTTTCAGGAAAATAATGAATGAATAATGTTTTGTGCTAATGTTTTGAGAACATTATTAAAGACCAGATAACTAACTTTCATTAAAAAAAAACATTTTATTAATGTTAGTGTTTGTTCATAACTTTGAGAGAACTTTGCCAAAACGTTATCCAAAGTTCTTAAAATGTCCCAGCTGAGGGACTATCTATCTATCTGCTAACAAAATTTTGCTCTAGAACATTTTGATAACGTTGCCAATAAGTAATGAAAACATTATTTCTGAATGTTCTCTGAACGTTCTAAATGTCGTTTTTTAAACGTTTCTTGGTTATACAAATGTTAATGGAACATTCTATTTTATCATTTTGCGAACATTGTGGGAATGTTACTTTTGAATCGTCTCTGAACATTCTAAAACATTTAAAAATGTCAGACAAACGTTCAACTAAAAAGTTCCATGAGCAATGTATGAATAATGTTTGTGCTGTTTTGAGAACATTATTAAAGACTAACTTTAACTTTCATAATAAACATTCTATTAATGTTACTGTTTGTTCATAACTTTGAGAGAACTTTGCCAAAAATGTGTTGTGTTCCTTGTTAGCTGAGTATCTAT